CTGGAGCAAATGGAAACGCTCAGCCCCCCTGTCCTATGCCCAGGCCCTCATCCAGGCAGGCTGCGAGGAAACCATCGAGGCCACCGTGCGCAAACGGAGACTGTGTTTCGCGGGCTTTGTTATGCGCATGGAGGACAGCCGCCTCCCCAAGCGCATGCTGTTAGGAGCGATGGCGGGGGGCGTGGGATACCGGGGCGGGCAGGAGAGCGACTGGGTGTCTCGTCTAGGAGAGGACCTCGTGGCCTTCAACATGGGAGACGAAAAGGAAGGGGGTAAATGGAAAGAGAGCGCCAAGGACCCGGAGGTGTGGTACAACAAGGTCAAGGACGGGGCGGCACGGTTCATGAGGAAATGGCACAGGCAGGAGGCGGAAGTGTTTTCTTTTTCCGAGTGGGTTGTACCCTATTTTTGTTTTGTTTCCCCGCGGCGTCGTATGTGCCGGGTTTTGAGACCACGTGCTTCACATTTTTTTGTGGGCTATAGAGCTAATGTGAGAAACAACAACAACAACAACCTCAAGCGTGCGTTCTTATTCTTAGCTGCAGGGGTAATCTGAGCACGTGTTCTTGCCGGCAAGTTCTTTGTTTTTTTTTAGCACCATATTCTTAAGTGCCATATTCTTAAGTGCCATATTCTTAAGTGCGGGCCTCAACTGTACCGCTCTAGCCGCGAGTGTCTGCACCACTGTCGTCGCCCCGGCCGGCGTCGCGGGGAAAGCATGACTGCCGGAGGTCACCCCTTCGCCGATGATGCTGCTACCGATGCTGCTGCTCCCTCCGCGAGTGCCCGCGCCCCGGCCACCTCTCCCGCCGCCTCCGCCGCCGCCGCCGGGGTGCACCCCCCTCACCGCCGGTGCCGCTGCGGCCCACAAGACCAACATACTTCCGACCCTGTCAGGTCATCGGGGAGAACTCCTTCGAGGAGTGTTTTCATGCGATTTCTTTCGTGTTTCTCTTTCCGTTGTACCAGTCTAGACTAGACTATTCAGGGAAAACAAACAAAAAACTGCATGTAACTGCTGTACCAAGCTGTGCCAAGCCCAAAAAAGATGCAAGAGAGCACTGCCTAGGTGCCGATCGTTTGACGGTACTGCTGTGGTTGTTCTAGCAGAGGTGAGCGTGTTCCTCCGCCGTTGATGTGTGCGAAAAACTTCCAGCGGGAGCGCGTATACAAGGTTGGTCGTGGAAGATCCATTCGAATATAATATAATTGATTCCGCAAGAAGCATTTTAATTGGGCGTTCTGGGTTGATGCGTTGCTGCCTGGAAGAAGTGCCTCGCACCTTGTACAGCGTCGCAGATAGACTACTGCAAGGTATTGAGTTGTTACCGGCGGCTCCTTACCCTCCCCCTATCTAATACTACGTGGATGACTGTGCTGCCATGAAGCACCAAATACAATACAGCCTGGCGGATATACTCTCCTGACTTGCAGTATACTACATACAGAGGGCACGCTTGAGCAGAGCATAGAAAAAAATATGTGATGATGATGCACCGGACCCTCTTCGTTCAATCGCCCCGTTCAGATAGTGAAAGACCCCAACAAGCTGTTACAAAACGAGATATACCGAGCGTGACGATACAGGAAGTAATGTCGGGAGAGAGCTTGCCAATGAATCATTTGCGCATGATGTACTACGTGTATACACACACATGATGACATACAGACATGAGGGCCTTCTTTGCCCGCCAAAACACCTTCTTTATTGATTTTAGGCTAGGCTAGCAACGCTGCTTGAGGCCATCTGATGAACACTTTCTTCTCTCGATCGAAGTATATTGAAGTTGCTGCATACTACCCCCAAGAAGAGCCGGGAACGGGACGGAGAGAGAGGAGACGAGAATGGAAAGGGCGAAGGCGTACTACGCACCGCAGTCGCGTTTCCTCCGTGGTGGACATGGCGCAAATATCTGCCTTCTGTGTGATATACATAGAAGGCATCGGTTGGGTGGCTTGTGCCGCTCTCTCGCAGTTAGGCTAAAACTCGAACGCACACACCGACAAAAGAATAATAGATGGACGGACAGACGGGCGGGCAGTTGCACAACAAAGCCAACTTGCCAAGGTTTGATGATGGAGATCTTCGATATAGTTACACCATTAGACTAGTCAGCCGCTGACTAGTCTAATGTTACGCTGACTAGTCTAATGGTGTAAATCTATCTAACCCTTCATGGAATAGTAGACTGGGCGGCCAACATGCGAATGGGAAGTAAGTCAAATGCACACCACCGAACCATGTACTGCAGGGGCAGTGATCGCGGCGGCGGCAGATGGCACATGCGGTCCGGATGCGCACTGCTCAACTCGAAGCAACTACATTTCACAAAAAGCAACGCGCGTGGAAGGTGAGCAAGGAAGAGACACAAGTGGCCCGCGGATATCAATGTACTTTCTAAAAAAGAGGCCCGCGGATATCAATATTTCCGGACATATGTAGACTAGACTAAACGTCCCGCCACGTCGTTCGAGAGCAACGATGATTGTTGGACGCAAGGGAACCGTACGGGCGCCCAATCACCCTATAACAGGCAGAGAGACAATACACCTCCGAGATGCCCGCTGTGGTGCATCACAACACAGCAGCCTGAGGGATACAAGCCACCACGAAGGCGGCAAGCCCCACTGACTCGGCAAGGAGAAAAAACAAAAAATGTGATGCACCGCACGGACCCTCTTCCGCCTGTTCGACCGCCTCGTTGGGGTGGCGACACGGACAAGGCCCACTCTTGCCGGCCACAGGAGGCGGAAGCTCTTCAAACTCGGGTAGGGGTCATGATCTGCGATTCCCCACCGAACCATACTCAAGACTCCGCGGGGTTTGCAATGTAGCTCGAGATCAGCATTTCGGGCCGGGTCGGGCAAGGGGCGGGGGAGTCGCGTGAAACTTCCACGGATATTGGCCTGAGAAGCTGAGGCTAAAGCTTCAGAATGTACATGGCGCTCTCAACGGACGTAACTGCTGATTCGTTTCTACTACAATAGCGTGGGCACAATAGGATGCCTCTTGGTCCCGCCGTCTTCGGGCGGGACCAACTCTTGGCAGAAGAAAACTAAACTCAAGTTCTCACACAGACAGTTTCACACGTTCGTATGCTACATTTTGAATCTAGCGAAAGCACCGCGCCCAACAAAAGCACGGCGAGCATGCTGTGCAAAGGAAGTCTCGACCGTACCGTCCATTGCTGCCCCCCCCCCTGCGCCACTCTCTCGGGGCATATTCCTCAATATTACGTGCTGCCACCCCGTTGGCCGTTGGAAGAACGTCATCCTGGGCGATTGCTTGCATGATCTGCAGGCGATTGCAAATCGACTCCCCTCGACAACCGCGTTGGAGGGAATACATCGGAGTGGTGGCTAGCTCGCCGTACGAAACACTGTCATACTGGCGGCAGCCGGCCGGACAAGGGCTAACTACAAAGCGAAGCGTGGCAACTAAACAAGAGGAGCGCGCACACCGATCAGCCTTCGCGCCGCACACGTACATTGCTCACGCCTCTCCTACTTGGCTCCCTTCACGTACAGTTACGATCTCTGGTTGTTTGTAGTTTCTCTGCACGCTTCCCCCCACCGAGTGCGTCGCTTGCCGTGCATACCCCCGTAGCAACATGCACCATGCTGCTGCTGTGCTGCTGCTCTCGGGCATGGTTGTATGACAAAGCGATAAACGCAGCGTACGACACGGGGAAGGAGCTCCGCTGGACTGGAGCGGAAATTCATGCAGACGTTGTAAAACGGCAAAAACACTCCTGGTCTTGCCATTCTCGCCAACTTTCTTGCCGAAAGTTCGAGGCTAGCACAGAACAACACAAAACAAAACGTTGACAAATGCCCCCCCCCCCGCCCTCCCTCCCGTTCCGCTCTTCCCACCCGCGGCGACGAGAAATCTCTCACGCAACTGACAAAACAAGTAACAGAAAGAAACATAAAAACGGGCGTAGCGCTGTTGTAGTCCAGCCGAACAGGGTTGCGACCAGCAAGATCGGCACGCGAAAAACAAATCAAATCCCAATGCAAATGTGATGAAGGTGCCGTACCCACCCACTCACCCCACCCAACTACCTACTCGCTCATCATGGGGGCCTCTGGGGCAACTTCAACCTGTTTCGATGGGGGGTCGGAGATCGCAAGGGAAGGGCGGGGGCGGGGGGAGCGGGGGGGGAGTGGTAAGGGCGGTCCGAGAATAATTTGGAAGACGATTCGACCAGGACAGGTTGGGTCGGATGTGATTTGGAGCACGCGCAAGAGCAGAATAAGAGTCGGAACACGCCAGCTGAGCAAAGCAACCGCAGGCAAACGGCCAAAAACCGAAGGCCATCGGGAGCGTGTGGTGCTCTTCTTCCTTGACCACGACGTTCCTCTAGAATAGACGCACACAATAGTAGCACCCTTGGCTCGGCACGAACATATAGCTTTCCTTTGGCCTCGACGAAAGGCGTTCGAACGAGCATGAACTGCGGGAAACAAAACAAACGTGGGAACTGGCTTCCCAGGGGAATATTCCTCGCCGGATTGCTCGCGCACACCCGGGCGGCAGGTTCCACAAAAAGAAACAAAAGAGCCACCGAAAGGGTGGGGCTCCGTGAAACTCGATAGTACCCCGTGTGAGCGAGCCCCCATGATGTGTTGACTTGGGCCACAATCCGGTTCACACCTTCGTCACCGCCGGTGTTTCCCACACACAGATGGCTGCGTGCTATGAACCCAGCAGGATACACCCATAATGTTCTACACGCACAGACTTTTGATTCGCCCTGGCTTCGCTCTGAACCTGGCAAATGCCGTGCCATGAAAAAGTGAGAGCTACTGATTCAAGTCCGTCTCGCAACTCTCAGCACCAAACCTCGCGCTGCCATACACATTCGAAGGAGTTGACGAACTCGCTCAACCCTTCGTCAGAGTGGATCACATGGGCATAAGAAGGACAGAGGGGGGGGGGGGGGGGGGG